TGTTGGGCTCACCAGAACACATTGCTAAAGTAATGGAAGCCCTTCCCTGGGAGTGTCAGGAATTTGTCAGGCTTTTTGATCCAGCACCAACAGACTTAGAAATTGTACTAACTAGAGCTGACAATTGGTGGATCAAGCATCCTTTCACAGAACAGGCCTGCTCTGTTTCAGCCGTAAGAACTTTCAAGGTCGAGTCTGGTAGAGATATAGATAGTAAATGGAGAAACCAGAGGTGGGATGTACCCCAGAACAAGAGGGATAATGAGAACTGGAGACCAAAACAGGACTTTGACAAAAGATGGAGAGATCCACAGAGTGACCATAGGAATAGGGACAGTGCTAAAGGAAGCAATGTAATGGGAGATAATTGGAGAAATAGATTAGAGGAGTCTCAGGCAATCAACAATAATTTGAATAATAATACCTGGGAGAGGCTAAAAAGAAGGGATAATAACTGGAAAAATCACAGTTGGGGAGAAAAATGGAGAAACAACAGGAACAGAAATTGGGAAAATAATTGGAGAAGGGCATCAGACCAATAGACGGAATTGGGATAATTGGAGGAATAAATAGGGGAATAGAGACTACTGGGACCTAAAGAGACAGACCGAAAGATTGGAGGCAGATGTGAAAGCGCTTAGGGAACAGATGAGAGATGAGGAAAAGATTGATCAATTGGGGGGTCCCAGCAATTAATAGCTCCCATCATTTTTTTGTTGCTCTCTACATCTGTATGTATGTTTGTTTTTCTTTTGTTTTGTTCTTTTTCTCAGTCTTCCAGTCTCCCATTTAGCTATACATTTCTAATGATGCGATCTAGTGTTCCCACAGAGCAAAGCAAAGCTACATTAGGATGATGATGTGTGTCAACAGAAGATCGTGGTGGATCCTTGTTACAGGATAGATAAGTATGAGCTGAAGATACTCCAAATAAGGGAGTCAGTTTAAAAAGATTAGAGTCTACATTTTTAATAATTTTTCTATTCCTCCAAGGTGTCCAGAACAACAGCAGCATTGGTTTAGGCAAAGCAGGGAGTCAGGAAAAACGGGACATATTTGCAGCCTTTCTGGGAGGATTCAGAACTGGATTGGGAGTAGAGACACATCTAGTCCTACGAACTCTGTTGCTAGTACTCGTTTTAACACTATACTTTTGTGTGGCAATTAAATAGATGAGGAAGAAACTTGAAAGGGGGGATATATTTTTAAAAGTTTTTTTTCTTCTCTCTCTCTCATATATTCTTCAATAAAGTTTTACATTGCACATACATAAACATTTAACACACACACTCACCTAAATTCTATAAGTTCTGTTTTGTTTTTTTGTGACAAATTTGTATAATATGTGAATTGACAGCCATAGGAAAGTACAGGAGAACTTATGTCACCGTGACCTCAACCCGATTGAGATGCTGTGGCATGACCTCAAGAAAGCGATTCACACCAGACATCCCAAGAATATTGCTGAACTGAAACAGTTCTGTAAAGAGGAATGGTCAAGAATTACTCCTGACCGTTGTGCGCGTCTGATCTGCAACTACAGGAAACGTTTGGTTGAAGTTATTGCTGCCAAAGGAGGTTCAACCAGTTATTAAATCCAAGGGTTCACATACTCTTTCCACTTGCACTGTGAATGTTTACATGGTGTGTTCAATAAAAACATGGCAACATTTTATTCTTTGTGTTTTATTAGTTTAAGCAGACTGTGATTGTCTATTGTTGTGACTTAGATGATGATCAGATCACATTTTATGACCAATTTGTGCAGAAATCCATATCATTCCAAAGGGTTCACATACTTTTTCTTGCAACTGTAGATGGATAGATTTTAAAAGGGTTGTTGCTCCGTGGGTCTGGGCTGTGTGTGTGTGTGATATAAATTCATAGTATTGTGTTGTTGCCTTCTAATAAATACCTTTTAATGTAGAGGAACCTTGTGTAATATATATATATTAATTTGGTAATTGATCATTTACCACAGCAGCTGCAAGAGAGGTGCGAATCCTCGAACCTCCAGAGGCAGAAGGGTTAGAATTGGTATCATCCAACCTCTCCACATCAAAGTCGTGAGCTGCCTTTGGGACAATAACTTCCTCTTCCACTGATTGCTCTGAAGCTTCCACCTTAAGTTTCTCAGCCTTCTCAGACAGTGTTTTGGAAGAAGTATGTTGTTTACCACATTTCCTACGTGGTGGCCTTTTGACAGGAGGATCATCTTCTACGAGATTAGCTTCCAACTTCAGTGGCCCAGCCTTGTCGTCAATTGCATCACCCGAAGCAACTTTTATAGGTGACTCTCCCAGTTTCGAGTCTCCAGTATTAGATGACTCAGGAAGAGGTGTCGAAATTGGAACTTCTGATTTTATAGATTCAGTATTGTCCATTGGAGCATGAACTGCATTGTCCTTTGCGGGACTGATATCCAGATCTGATCCAGTTACCTGGTCAAGGTTACTAGTGGTCTCCTCAATTGTCACTGTGATGGAGGAATTAGTTTCTCTGGTTGTTGTCTCAGGTGAGTCTGTTTCTGCTTCATGGCTGGGCAGACTTTGCTTGAGACACTTTCTGACCCAACTGGTACCCTCCTGAATGGTTTCGAGATCGCTCATCTTGGTAGTCGGTATTCTCACTCTGTTAATAGGCGAGTGGATCTTGCAGAAAAGAGACGGTGGCATAAGGGCACTGTGACAACGCAGTACGCAGTTTACAAACAATATTTGTAAACTGCGTACTGGTACTGCGTTCATGTTCAGGCTGCTCGTCATCTAAAGCTGCTATACAGCGAGCACCAATATCATTGAAGATCTGGTCCATGAGGGGATCGTCAGTGCTATATAACCCCTTAACATCATCATCTTCAGTTTGGGCTGGAAAGCATTCAGCTTTAAATTCGTGAGGAACTTTGGTTTTGCAGTCGGGAGGCTCAACAAGCCATTTGCCCAAGTCAGAGTCAGGAGAATTAGGGATGCTATGCAAATTAGGAAAGGGAATATAAACATCATTAGCAGACATAAAGACACTCATCCTTTCCTGTACTAGATCAATAAGAAATTGAATTTCGGGAATCAAGGCAATGTAATTATTGTGCATGACTCTTTACTGTTTCTGCATATATGATAAAGATTTATCCATGATGTTTCTTTAAGAGACACACGAAGAAGTTCATATACCCCATTTATCACAGGGGGCTTTCTCAACCATTTTTTGCTATTAGGTAACTGAGAAAGCAAAGGGTCACATATGTTTGTGATAAGTTTGCAGTTCAGTGAGTCCACATAATATAGATTTCTGAACTTGGAAAAAAACGTCTATAGTTGACAAGCATAAGGTAGAGGCCTTTTCTATCTGCCGCTGGATATGTTTTAACTGATCATAACAAGTCTTAATGAGAGCACACTCTTGCTGTGAATCAGCGTTAATACCAACAATGTTATCCATCGTGATCCTAGACATTATACTCTGCTGGTTCCGAATGGCCAGATCATTATGTAATGACATGAAGGGGTGCTGTCTTGGAACAGCACTGTCACTTTTAATTTGGTCACCAATACAGCAAATAAATAAATTCCAAGACACAAATGAATAGGGTAAATCAAGATATATATATATTTACAGAGAAGCAAAAGACAAAACAATATATATACATGTAACGGACCGTTTTGCACAAAAGGGGAAAAAAACGCTTAGACGATAATCCCCTTTCAGAGACAGGCACAGCTACTGTAGAATCACCAAAACTCACGAATTGAATACAAGTGAATGCACCAAACTCTCGAACTGCATACAAGGGAATAAGGTAGCACTCCAAACTCCCGAACTGCATACAAGGGAATGCTCCAAACACTCGAACTGCAAACAAGGGAATGCTCCAAACACTCGAACTGGAACCTCACGAATAGCTGCTAACAGACGAACAGGAAAAGCTCCCAAGCGGCTTACACTCCTGGCAATCAGTCCTTAGCAGCATACAGTAAATCCCCCCCAAAGACGAGACAGAGCTCCGTGTTGAGGGTGAAGCAGTGGTCTGTTTAATGAGGGCTACCTGCCCAGTATTTATGCAGGTCTCCCACCTGGTGGACACTCCCCTAGGGGACCAGATGGAAGACTGTAACAAAAGACAGACATGTACCAATTACAGACATACAGAAGTGAAACATCCCCACAATGCATCCTGGCTTCCTCCCCTCTGCCCTGGAGAAGTAATTCAATTATCTCCCAGGACAAAGGAAAAACTCCATTACACACGTGGGGACACAAAACCAGTATTATACTTTAAAATACATAAAGTAACATTTATTACATAAAACACAGACATGTAACATATCCCCAGATAGCTCAGGTCTGAGCGCACATTATTAAGTGAATGGCGCTCAGACCACACAAATACAGTTTAATCGCCATGGAGCCAAAATCTTTACAGTCAGTTTCATACGAATGGGCTCCATGGGATTCCTATCTGGGGTATAACACATTCAACAAAACTACCGAACACCGGGCCGTTCGTGCACTTCCACCGAACAAGAAGGGAGGTCGGCGGCTTCAGCGGTGTTCGCGCAAAACTGTGTCCGATTTTAGTTCCATGAAAATAGGGGCGAACACCGCTGTGCATTCGTATGTTTAAAATGGCCGCGACCTCGTGTTCGGGATACGAATGGCGGCCACCCAGTATTCGTCAATTAAGCTGCGGTTAACCGCAGCTTCAGGGAGGTTAATTGCCGGCACACTCCAGCTCCCAGGTGGTCTATTCATTCGTGCGGTTGTTCGGTAGATTGAATCTACCGAACAACCGGCAGAAAAGCACGAATACAGCTTTTCTGCAGGCAAAATAAAGTCTTTTAAAAGGGGGCCATAGTCCAGAGGCAGCAGGCGAGCAACCAGGCTTCTCCAATGCAATGTGGCGAGATTGGTCTCGTCACAATACAATGCTACAAAATATATACAATAAATCAGAATAAGCACGAATTGTGCAGGCAACATATACTGAAACAGTCCTTTGGTATAAGGGCAGGATTGTGCAGTTACCACGAGTAGCAGGTAGGGCACAGATCCAGAGTCACAAGACTAATATACTGACACCAGGAAGCAAGATCAGAAGCAGAATAAATGAACAAGGCTGCAGGGTCACTGGTAATAAAGCAGAGAACACGGAACCAGAACACAGGATCGGAGGGCACAGGAATGAAGGACCAGGAGGACACAGTAACGCAGGATCAGGAGGACACAGGACGAAGACCAGGAGGCGCAGGACACAGGACCAAGGAACAGTATGCAGGATCAAGGAGCCAAGAGCCAGAATCACAGGGAACCAGGGAAATAGGAGACAAGATACAATGATCTGGCAAGGAGTGAGGGAAGAAACCAAACAATATAGGTGTTAAACAAGGACCAGGTGAAGTGCTTAACGAAAAGAAATTAGAAACAGTGCCAAACAGAAACAGTGGTGAGTGTGAGTACTGCACAAGGTCATATTAACTAAGGAGTGTCGTGACAAGGACTTAACACCCCGCACAAAAGATGGGTACTCCTGAAGACCATGAAGCGTGAACATGTTGATATAATGTGCCTCCAGGAGACGCACTTCAAACATAATAACATACCAGACTTTGGCACCAGGGATTACCCTATCCAATACCATGCGACCCACTCTTCCAAATCTAGAGGAGTGTCTCTCCTCTTCCACAAATCTCTCACCTTTGAATTGTTGCAACTTAAAAGAGATTCGCAAGGATGCTATCTCATAATCTATTGCATTATCAACACAGTTACATACACGCTAGTGGGGATCTATGGCCAAAACATGAACCAGAGAAACTTTCTACTTCAAGTCCTCAATAAAATCGCACCCACGCAAAAACCATCTATGATACTATGTGGAGACGTAAATCATGTTTTACACCCAGTGGCAGACACATCACTCGTCCCCGGCACACCTAGAACCAAATCACTCATGCAGCAATGCAAAACACTCAAACTATTAACAGAACACAAATTATATGATGTGTGGAGAGTACTCCACCCCACTGAAAAAGGGTACACATATTTCTCATCAGTCCATAAGTTCTATTCCAGAATAGACTTGATTCTAGCCACTACCGACATTCTGCATAGAGTTACAACTAGTGAAATTGGAGATATAGAGTGGTCTGACCACGGCCCAATTTAGGTAAAAATACAAACCAACTTCGACCATAGGGGAAAAGCCCCATGGAGGCTAAACAACACCCTAATACTTAATGAGGACTTCCACACACAACTAAACCGAGACATCACTGACTACTTTTGTAACAATACGCTACCGGAATTATCGCCTACAACCACATGGCAGGCACACAAAGCGGTGGTTAGAGGGATATTCATCAGCAGAGCATGTTATCTTAAAAAACAAAGAGAAAGAAAATACCTTGAATTACTGGAGATCTCCAAAATGCCCAACACCTAAACCCTACAACAGAACAAGCAAGCAAACTAACTAGCATCACAAAACAAATTAACGAGCTGCATCTAGACAATACAACAAAAAAAGGCACTCAGCAACCCTATCACCCTACCCGAAATTTTACAAGCTATAAAATCACTACCCCACGGCAAGTTGCCGGGACCAGACATTTAACAAATTCTTACTATAAAACGTACAGCCACATCATAGCACCGCACCTAGATGACACATTTAACCATATCATATCAACTGGAACTATACCTCAAGACATGTTGATGGCACACATAGTCACTCTGCCAAAGCCTGGTAAACCACCAACCAAACCACAAAACCTTAAGCCCATTTCTTTGCTAAATACCGACACCAAAATCCTAGCCAAACTATACACCACACGAGTATCAGATATGATACCCACAATAATCAAACAGGACCAAGTAGGCTTTGTAAGAGGTAGACAGGTGGCGGAATGGTACACGAAAGTTACCCCAAATCACAACGGGGATGCCCAGTGTATTCCTGTCGCTAGAGGCAGAGAAATAATTTGACAGGCTGCACTGGAGCTTCCTAAGAGAAACATTGAAAAAATTCAATTTCCCACATCAATTCCTCAACCTCATATCGGCATTGTATTCCAAACCTGCAACTAGAGTAACAAATGGCGGCTTTGCATCTGCACCCTTTAACATATCTAATGGAACGAGGCAAGGCTGCCCATTGTCACCAATTCTTTATATCCTAGCCCTGGAACCCTTGATGCAAGCCATACGAAACAAAAAACTAATCACAGGCATCATAAAATGGGGGACAGAATACAAAGTAACAGCATTTGCCGACGATGTCATGCTATCACTAACTAACCCATTAACCTCCATTTCCAACTTTCAACAACATACTACAGGAATACAGCACCTGCTCATATTACAATTCAAATGTGACTAAAACACAAGCAATATGCTTACATACACCACCTGAGACGGCTAAAACACTCCAACATACTAACGCCTTTGAATGGAGGCAAGACCACCTTACATTTTTAGGCGTCAAATTTACAACCCACGTACATAAATTGTGTAAGGCCAACTACACCACACTTCTTTACAATATCAAACTCCAACTCACAAGCTGGAAAAACACATATGTTTCCTGGACAGGTAGAGTGGCTGCTGTGAAGATGATGATTCTCCCCAAATTTCAGTATTTATTCTGAACTCTGCCTATACAATTACCCAAAACATATATTAGAGAGGCACAGACAGCACTTAACTCCTTTGTATGGGCAAACAAAAGACCCAGAGTTGCGGCAAATATACTCTATTTGACACAAAAAAAGAGGAGGCATGGGTCTCCCTAACCTAGATCTATATTATAAGGAGGCAATCATTAGCCCACTGATAGCAGCATTCCACTCACGCCTCACCACCCTCGTGGGTGCACCTGGAGGCGACACACACTGAGGGCTTTGAAATCAGTACAATAGCTGGAATAAACAAACAACACAGAAAGAAATTTCATGACATACTCCCCATAACCTCTTTGACACTGAAAGAATGGGACAAATACACAACACTTCTTAACCCCAACAAAGAAATCCTCCCATTGATGCTACTCTGCTCTTTTGAACTACTGATTCCACAATTAACGCAAGTGGGCCAACTTAGGCCTAACTCACATACACCAACTAGTATACAAGAACACAAATATACCCTTTCACACACTGCAGAAGAAGTATAGACTCCCAACTACGGCTGAATTCGCTCATAGACAGATCACCTCATGGATAAAGAGACATTACCAGTCACCACCCACAGCCAATACAACAGGGAATATGAGAACATTGGTACAATTTTATAAAAACATTAAAAAAAACGACAGGCATAATTTCTGCAATATATGACAGCTATACGGGAGATAAGGTGTATGAATTTTATAAAACAGTGAGAAACAGATATAGGAAAACAATTACCAGATGAGGAGTGGCGAAAGAGCTTTGTGGCTAACAAACAATGCACACTTTGCACCTCCCATATGGAAATGTCTAGGAAAATGCTTTACAGATGGCATACGGTACCCGCCAGTTTTAAACACGTTGACCCGCAGCAGACACGAGCTTGTTGGAGATGCGGACATGATACAGGTGACGTTATGCATATCTGGTGGACGTGCCAAACCATCACCAAACTATGGGAAGACACAAAATCCCTCATACAGAAATTGGGGAACATAGACATACCGCTGAAGCCAGAGATATGCCTTTTACAACATATTCCACCATACCTGCCTAAACCTCACAAATATCTCATCTTTCACATCACAATAGCGATCATCACAGCCATAGCCAAAGCCTGGCTGCAAAAAGACCCACCACTAATAGAATCGATTATATTACAGTTAGATACGACTAAGATATATGAATGCACCACAAACATTTTGGGCGGATGCTTGGAAAATGTGGGATGCACATAAACACCCCCTGACTTGGGACGCCCAGAACTGATATGACAAAACAGGGGTACGAATCACAGACGAGAGATAGGGATCAAACCTCAGATACGGGATATAGCAACATTAAGAACTATACGAAAGTTATCGGGCAACTAATGCCCCCTCCCCACCACCCCCACCTAACACATCCACCCCCTATACCCGCCCTAGTTAGGAGTTGTAAAGTTATGTTCACGTATACTAAAAGAAGGTACAGATAGACATCAGAAGACATAATTCAGTGCTCCGAAGAGAGCCCCAGATTAATGTTCGACATGGATGTACGGGGCACGCAATATCAATGGAAAGCTTCACCACAAACTGACCAAACACTGACATAGTAAATTACGCAGTTGTCATCTGATACCATGTGCACTGTGACAATGTTAAATAAAGTAATGCAACTGATTTGACGACAGGCGACATATCGCCTTCATACTTAGACCCACTTGCAGGGACTAAATGTAAATGCCTGTACTCTGTGAGAATTGTACAATTTGTGAACTGTAATTTACTATAATGATTGTCAGCCTGATTACATACTGGGAGCCTCGGGCACTCAAAAAAACCCAAAACTTAAATCTCTTTAGCTTGGAAAAACAGCGCCTCAGAGGGGATATAATAACATTATACAAATATATTCGGGACCAGTACAAACCATTATCTGGAAATCTATTCATAAACAGGGCTATACATAGGACACGAGGTCACGCATTTAGGCTGGAAGAAAGGAGATTTCATCTAAGGCAAATAAAAGGTTTTTTTTACAGTAAGAGCAATAAGGATATGGAATTCTCTGCCTGAAGAGGTGGTTTTATCAGAGTCCATACAGATGTTTAAACAGCAATTGGATAAATACTTGCAAAAACATAACATACAGGGATATAATTTCTATTATTATTATGTTATTATTTATATAGCGCCAACAAATTCCACAGCACGTGGACGAACAGACATGTAGTTGTAACCAGACAAGGTGGACACACAGGAACAGAAGGATTGATTGCCCTGCTCAATGAGCTTACATGCTAGAGGGAGAGAGGGAGTAAAGTGACACAAAAGGTAAGGATAGTATTTGTTGTGGACAAAATATTAACCCAACCCATATTAATAAAATGCCTATTTACTCAGCATAACCACAATCAGCATTATTCAACCTTATATGATTTACCTAAAATGGCCGCTAGGGAGTTTCCCTTTGACATTGAGTAACACCCTCATTAACAAGATGGAGCTGGAATCTGGGGGAGACCTCCAAGATACCAGTGACATCGCACCCGGTAGGAATAGCACTAAATGAACCACTTAACACCTAGCCAATTATTGATGTATTATTCCATGTTATCTCTGACAATGCATATGATGTAATTTTGCTTTATAAGGGGCATGCCGTCCCCCCAGAATAAACATTCCTCAAGTTTTTCATTAACCCGAAACCTGTGTATGGTGTGAATTACTTTAGGAGCGTGCACGCATTACTTCTTTAATTTGGCCGGGGGCAGATACCCAAGATAATCAATTAATTGATTGATTCCACATCAGTATTAGACTAATGACAGTTGCAAGAGAGGAATCAGTCAGGAGCTATTAACAGTTTTATGAAGAAGTGGGTTTTTAATTTTGATTTTTTTGAAGTAGTGGAGACTGGGTGAGCATCTAACGGATGAGGAAAGTGAGTTCCACAGAAACGGTGCAGCCTTGGAGAAGTCTTGAGGGTGAGCATTAGAGGTGGAAGCACGGACAGAAGATAGACGTAAGTCTTCAGCGAGTAGATCATTGGATACTTTGGTCAGTGCCATTTCCACAGAGGGCTTGGTGTGGAAACCAGACTGAAGCAGGTCTAGCAGAGTTAGACTCAAGGAAGTCTGTCAATCTCGTATGCACAACTCTTTCAAAGATTTTGAATGCAAAAGCATGCAGCTTAGCCCAGGTTTTCTCGCCAGTACTGCTCGGGTTTCAGGCAAACATACACCGAGTTACATACACCGCTTTGCGCCGCTTACCACACCTCCCCGATAGCACGTAGGCGCTCCTGCATGCGTCCTACGTCATTGCTCCACCCCCCACCTGTGTCATTGATTCTAGTGAGCTGGTTTCTGCTGTGCTACACCAAGTTTGATATACTGTATTATAATTATTTTACAGATTTGTTTTTTCTTCTTGTGAGAGACAGACTATTTGATTTCTAGTGTGCTTATTGCTACTACATGTATGCTGCACATTGAAGCATTTATTTTTTGTTTGGGGAGGGGGGGATTATTTAGAAGAAAATTGTCTTTTCTGAATGTGCCCAGTCCATCAAGTTTAGTCAAACACAATATTATAATAATAATAATAATAAGTAATAAATCCACTAGTCAGCAAACTATTATTCAACACAAACGTCTATACTGGCCTAATAAAGTTGTGTTCGTTTACACAATACATATTCATATCCCAATTTATTTTAATAATAAAAACCAACCCATCATAACCATTTTACATCCTGATCCAGAGATGAAATTGAGATAGTTTAGGAGAAGCAATTGTGTTCTCCACTCTGCCATCAGCAGATGTGCTATGGACTCTCAAAGTCTTAACACCTTTTCTTCAGCCATGAGGACTGCTGACCCCTTCACCAGCAGCCCTACCACTTCTATTAGCAACATTCAGACTCAGGGTAGTGTTTTAGCATGTCTGTTATCCACCACCCAGGAGTGAATGGTTTTATTTATGCCTTTTTCTGCTGCAATTGGTGACTCAAAGTCTAAAGTAATTGAAAAATTGTAATTGCAGCAGAAAAGTTAGCTAGGAGAGAATTGTTTTATTTATGGCTTTTAATGCTGCAATTGGTGACTCAAAGTCTAAGGTAATTGAAGAATTTGTAATTGCAGCAGCAAAGTCAACTAGGCCCAATGATTTGACCTGCAGCTCCACAATAACGTCTGCTGTCACTTCCACTAGCACTGCAGTTCCTTCCACTAATGCATTATTGCTTCTGTTATAGGATAGGTGAAACCAGTGGACTTCTTGCCATTCAAAATATTACCCCCTAGTTCTTGCAGCCCACTTCTCCCCCCCCCAAGAAGCAACTAAGGAAAGCTCTGCAGAGACTTTCTCAGTGCTTTCAGAGATAATTCTTTCTGAAGAGGTAAAGCAGAGTACCAAAGTAATGTCACCAATGTTACTTCTTGGTGGTAGTGCTCTTATCACTCTTTCCCCCACCACTGCAGGCATTTGTTTAAAGGACCACTCTAGGCACTCAGACCACTTTAGCTTAATGAAGTGGTCTGGGTGCCAGGTCCAGCTAGGGTTAACCCATTTTTTCATAAACATAGCAGTTTCAGAGAAACTGCTATGTTTATGAATGGGTTAAGCCTTCCCCTATTTCCTCTAGCTGCTGTCTCATTGACAGCCGCTAGAGGCGCTTGCGTGCTTCTCACTGTGATTTTCACAGTGAGAGCACGCCAGCGTCCATAGGAAAGCATTATGAATGCTTTCCTATGTGACCGGCTGAATGCGCGCACAGCTCTTGCCGCGCGTGCGCATTCAGCCGACGGGGAGGAGAAGAGAAGGATCGGAGGAGGAGAGCCCAGCGCTGGAAAAAGGTAAGTTTTAACCCCTTTCCCCCTTCCAGAGCTGGGCGGGAGGGGCACCCTGAGGGTGGGGGCACCCTCAGGGCACTATAGTGCCAGGAAAACGAGTATGTTTTTCTGGCACTATAGTGGTCCTTTAAGTCTGGCCCAGGAGGAACTCGACTATGAGAAAGATGGATTGCAAGAGTTGAGTCCAGATAAGAGAGGCAGTAGTTCACTATGTTTCCAGCAAGTGTGCACATGCCTCCTGCATCTTCATCACCTTGCTAAGTCCATGTCTATCTGCTTTTGCATTGCCTCATTCAATGGAAACATAAAAAACAATGCAATATACACCCAAAGTGATTACACACAGAATACTTAAATGTATCAAAGTAGCACAGGTTCAATATATCTGTAGAGATTCAAACAATAAAAACATAGTGCTGTATATAATACTAAGTACAAATAAAAGCAAGGTGAGAGGAATCAAACTCACAAATCTAGAGCTGTACAAGGCTCTATAGAGCCAGTGTATAGGGTGCCTACACAGGCTAAAGCAATAGGATGCCAGGACAGGAATGCTGGATCAGTTAAAAAATTACCAATTGGGGGGCGTGGTCTGACACCCAGACTGAATGGATGCTAACTAGTGAAGCTCCTGAGCCACGGGTACCAAAGGGCTGAAAATAAACAAACTAACGAGCGATAGGCATATATATTACAGCGTATTACAACGGCATGATGTCCCAGAGGCAAAAGAATAAGGCGGACAAAGCCGAGCGAGCATCCTTTTTTCTCACCAGGACGGCTGCAATAATGCCGCGTGAAGGTGGCGGCGGCCTGCACCTTGAAGAGGGTCCGCCTCCATCCCCCATCTCCTCAGAGATAGGAGCAGATGACAGCCCCCTCACAACAGCAAACATGAAACTGCTGATGGCTGAACGCTCCGAGAACATCCAGCGCAATATGTCTGCCCAGATCCACACTCTGACGGCGGACTTACGCAAGGCGCTCCTCGAGGTAGGCCAACACACAGCACAGGTCGAAAGAAAGATGGATGAATTTGCAGAGGCCCACAACAGCCTGGTGGATAAACTTCAGGAAATCAACGCTGTCCTACATGATCATGCGCTGAAAATGGCTGATATGGAAGACAGGTCGTGGCGCAACAACCAGTGGATCCGCGGTATCACGGAGACGGTCCTGAACCCGGCTCTCAACAGCTACCTGCTAGACCTTTATATCTCACTGCATCTATGCAGTACACACCATTAAAGGACCACTCTAGGCACCCAGACCACTTCAGCTTAATGAAGTGTTCTGGGTGCCAGGTCCTTCTAGGGTTAACCCATTTTTTCATAATTATAGCAGTTTCAGAGAAACTGCTATAATTATGAATTCATATAATTATGAATGGGAAAATCACAGTGAGAGCACGCCAGCGTCCATAGGAAAGCATTGTAAATGCTTTGCTATGAGCCGGCTGAATGCGCGCGCAGCTCTTGACGCGCGTGCGCATTCAGCCGGCGGGGCGTATCGGAGGCGGAGAGGAGGAGGAGAGCTCTCCGCCCAGCTCTGGAAAAAGGTAAGTTTTTACCCCTTTCCCCCTTCCAGAGCCGGGCGGGAGGGGGTCCCTGAGGGTGGGGTCACCCTTCCTGGCACTATAGTGCCAGGAAAACGAGTATGTTTTCCTGGCACTATAGTGGTCCTTTAATAGCCAGACTAGCACTTTGTGCTCTCAAAAAGTCGACTTCCTTAGCGACACTGCATGCTGTACGTGACACCATGGACCTTAGCGTTGTCCCCCTCCACACAACATTAGAGTAGTAACGTACAATGTAAAAGGGCTGAATACCCCGGGTAAGAGGAGGCTGTTGCTTAAAGATCTTATGAAGGATAAGATCGATGATGCATGCATTCAGGAAACCCACTTCAAAATAGGGTACACCCCCAAGATCTTGAATAAACACTTTCCCACACAATGCCATGCGTTGTCAGATAGTAACACCAAAGGCGGATAAACTTCAGGAAATCGACACCGTCCTACATGATCATGCACTGAAAATGGCTGATATGGAAGACAGGTCGAGGCACCAACCAGTGGATCCGCAGTATCCCGGAGACAGTCCTGAATCCGGCACTCAACAGCTACCTGCTAGACCTTTATATCCCACTGCATTTATGCAGTACACACCATTAATGGCCAGACTAGCACTTCATGCTCTCAAAAAGTCGACTTCCTTAGAGACACTACATGCTGTATGTGACACCATGGACCTTAGCGTTGTCCCCCTCCACACAACATTAGAGTAGTAACGTACAATGTGAAAGGGCTGAATACCCCGGGTAAGAGGAGGCTATTGCTTAAAGATCTTATGAAGGATAAGATTGATGGTGCATGCATTCAGGAAACCCACTTCAAAAAAGGGTACACCCCCAAGATCTTGAATAAACACTTTCCCACGCAATGCCATGCTTTGTCAGATAGTAAAACCAAAGGTGTGTCCATATTTATACACAAGATGTCGCTTTCACAATGTAGAGGCACTATTTCGACCCATGAAGTAGAGTCAGAATCCTCCTGGGTCTCATCAATGCTATCCGTTACACATTGGTCACAGCATATTTCCCTGACGAGAATTCCAAAAACTATCTCCAGTCTCTGCTGGCCAGGGTTGATAAGTATAGACAGGGGAACCTACTCCTCTGCGGAGACTTTAACTTCACCCAGGCCCCACTAGACAGATCGTCCGCGATAGGGGGTGGTAGCAAAGGGACACGGGAAAAAATTCACAAACATATGTCCAAACTTCTTTCCCAACATGACCTATATGAAACCACGTTCTATTCAAGAGTTCATAACTCCTACTCCCGTATCCTACCTTTTTTTGTGGATAGATTAACCCTACCCCAAGTCTCTGAGTGTAAAATTGGGGAGATCACCTGGTCAGACCACAGCCTAGTCACTCTAGACTTAAGGTATGAATTCCAGTTCAAAGGGAAGGGGACGTGGAGACTGAATGACTCTCTTTTAACTGAAATAATATTGCCCTCCACTATACGGGAGGAACTAACAAGCTACTTCCGGTTGAACTCCAATTCAGAGACCATGGACTTCACTGTGTGGTCCGCACAAAAGGCTGAACTCAGGGGCCTTTTTATACGGCAAGCCGCACGCATTAAAAATGCCATAACTCTGAATTACTTGACTGCCACACACATATAGCCCAATTCTCTGCATTAGATAAAAGCCAACCCTCGGCAGAAGCAGCGTCTAAGCTTTCCCAGCTGTACGAGAAGCTCAGGGAAAAACTAGATGTCTTCTACATAAACTAAAAGCTGACGTGTACCACCAAAGCGGTAAAGCTACTAAATTTCTAGCTGCTAGATTGTGCAACAACTGCAATTCACACAAAATAGCACACATTTTAAATGACAAAGGCAGTAAACTGCTCAATGCCAGTGATATCACCCAGGTCTTTGCGCGCTTCTACGCCAAACTATATAATCTGCACCTCACAGGTGCACCTCTCGGTATTTATCCCGTATCCACCTGCCCTGCCTTACCCAAACCCAAGCTGCAGAGCTCCAACAACTCATAACATTAGATGAGGTTTTGGCGGCCATCAAAGCCCTTCCCCCGGCTAAATCCCCTGGCACGGATGGTCTCATGATTACCTATTACAAGACATATGCAGACACGCTAGCTCCCCTGTAACAAAAATACTTTCGTCACTTGGATTTGGAGAGGCCTGCTTGCCAGCCTCTTGCCCTGTGACCATGACCCCTGGGATGTATGGCCCTTTAAAAGCTCTATTTGGGCATATTGGATTTTAAAATACTGTTTCTGCCCCTTCAAATTATATTGGAGCAGTTTTACCCGTTTGAAGTGGCACTTCTGATACAGCCGAAGTAGTCGAATTGTAGTCGAATGCGTTCAGAAGTGTTTGGTCGTTGAGTTCAACTCAAATCAGACACGCGATGGCACGAACACTGCTGAACTTTACCTTCTTCAGACTTCGACTCTTCGACTGGAGTCGAACGCTGTTTGACAATTTGAACGGCACTTTAACATTGACGGTTTGCATGAACAGTTGCCGTTTGTCTATTTGAACTGCATTTAACATGGGGAAATAGACCGGCCGCACAGCCAAATTCTCTGGAACTGTTTTGTGCATGAAATCAAAAGAGACTTCCACAAAACATTTGAACCCGTGGTCTGATCTGGGTGATTTTTGGATATGTTACTCACCAAGATCAGGGCTATCCTGGGATGTATATTTATAGGGACGTGTTATGTTTTGGGGTTTTTTCTAGACTTTTGGGAAAATGTGTGATTTTCTGCCTGTGGATATTTAGGTTATTGTATTAGCGGCTTTAATTATATACCAGGCAGATGGGAGGGCGTGTGTGCTGTATGTGGGAGTGTCGGACATTATTGTATTGTTTTGATTGGTTTTGTGACTTTGTGTCCTGTTTTCCACAAGGTCCACGTGGGTGGTAACCTTGTGAGGAAAATGTGTATAAAAGAAATGTCTTTGTGCTCATTAAACAGACCTGTTCTACCCTTCATGATGTCTTGGCTCATGTTTGGGGGATTGGAGAACTACCTACACTCAGGGGATTGCTAAAATCAAGAATACAAATTTAGACCACCCAGGTGCAGTGCATATAATAAAAAAAAGGTTAATTACTTCCTTTTAGTCAGGTATAACAAAGGATTCCTCTCAATCCTCAATACACATCGAAAAAATAGTATATATCTAAACCTATAAAATAAAGAAAGAACACGCTCATAAGGGATTAACATAAATTCACAGGTAGCCCCTTATTTACATGTCACACTCACAAAATTGAAGTGATTTTCAGGCTCATCAATTTTGTAGATTCTCACAAATTCCTCGTAATTAGGATGATGAATATTGCATGTAAAAGATAAAAAAACAGCATAGCACAGCACTGTCATAAAGTATAAATCAGCTTTAATGGTTGCACTTGCAATGTAAAAGATGTAAAAAGGCCCATCAATACAATTCTGTATGTCCCATCAATATGAAGTAAGATGATCCTTGCAGAGGTGTTAGGCAAAAAAAAAAATAATTTAAATAAAATTACAAATATATATAACTCTACGCGTTTCTTCTGTAGTCTCAGACTTCCTCAGGAGTAAAAATGAAGTGCTTCAAATCTTCTGGGAACTACCGTCGGCTTTTAATTTTGTTCCTTCAATCCGCTGCTTTCAATTAGCTGGGCTTCAATTGCTCGTTCTCTATTTCCTTTTATAGAGTTCCGGAAAAAACGTCTGTGGGACGCACGTGCGTTCCATTGATCTGGAAATGCTTTCGTTTTATTGTTCTGACATATGTTGGACATATAGGTTAAATATTGTATTAGAAATAGAGTTGAGCGAACCCGGACTGTAAAGTTCGGGTTCGTACCGAACATTGCGTTTTTTTTTACCCCGGACCTGAACACGGACAAATCACTGTATGTTCGGGTTGGAGTTCGGCGATCTAATGGCGCGTTTGGAAAGGTTGCAGGGCAGCCAATCTACAAGCGTTTGACTCGTGTGCCCTTAGAAGCCATCACAGCCATGCCTACTAATGGCATGACTGTGATTGGCCAGTGCAGCATGTGACCCAGCCTCTATATATAAGCTGGAGTCCCGTAGCGCCGCACGCACATGAGCTCTTATTAGTGTAGGGAGAGGATGCTGCAGCTGTTGTTAGGGACAGATTAGGAAATAATTCTGCAAACTAGTACATTAGTGGGGTGCACTTCATATCTGAGAGTCAAATAGAAGTGTCAAATACCGCGGTTACATCAAGGTTTTAAAAAGTCCAATTTTTTTGGTGCTAAAAAGTACATTAGTGGGGTGCACTTCATATCTGAGAGTCAAATAGAAGTGTCAAATACCACGGTTACATCAAGGTTTTAAAAAGTCCTTTTTTTGGGGTGCTAAAAAGTACATTAGTGGGGTGCTCTTCATATCTGAGAGTCAAAGAGAAGGTTCAAATACTGCGCTTACATTGCAGTTGTAAAAATTCAAATTCTTTAGGTGCTAAAAAGTAAATTTGATGCCTGCACTTCATATCTGAGAGTCAAATAAAAGAGTCAAAAAGTGCGCTTACAGCGCAGTTGTAAACATTATTATTTTCTGGGTGCTAATCTGCTAAATAGTACATTTTGGGCGTCCTTTTCATATCTGAGAGTCAAATAAAAGCGTCAAATAGTGCGCTTGCAGCACAGTTGTAACATTATTTTCTGGGTGCTAATCTGCTAAATAGTACATTTTGGGGCCTGCTATTCATATCTGAGAGTCAAATAGAAGCATCAAATAGTGCGCTTACAGCACATTTGTAAACATTCTAATTGTTTTGCTGCTAAACTGCTAAATAGTACATTTTTATGCGTGCTATTCATATCTGAGAGTCAAATAGAAGCGTCAAATAGTGCGCTAACAGCGCAGTTGTAACATTTTTTATTTTGTGGGTGCTAATCTGCTATATAGTACATTTTGGGCGTGCTCTTTTTATCTGAGAGTCAAATAGAAGCATCAAATAGTGCGCTTACAGCGCAGTTGTAAACATTCTTATTTCCTGGGTGCTAATCTGCTAAATAGTACATTTTGGGCATGTTCTTCATATCTGAGAGTCAAATAGAAGCGTCAAATAGTACGCTTACAGCACATTTGTAAACATTCCAATTGTTTTGCTGCTAAACAGTAAATTTTTATGTGCGCTCTTCATATCTGAGAGTCAAATAGAAGCATCAAATAGTGCGCTTACAGCGCAGTTGTAACATTGTTTATTTTCTGGGTGCTAATCTGCTAAATAGTAAATTTTGGGTGTGCTCTATATCTGAGAGTCAAATAGAAGCGTCAAATAGTGCGCTTACAGCACAGTTGTAAACATTCTAATTGTTTTGCTGCTAAACTGCTAAATAGTACATGTTTCTGCGTGCTATTCATATCTGAGAGTCAAATAGAAGTGTCAAATAGTGCGCTTACAGCGCAATTGTAAAAATTATAATTGTTTTGCTGCTAATCTGCTAAATAGTACATTTTGGGGCCTGCTCTTCATATCTGAGAGTCAAATAGAAGCGTCAAATAGTGCGGTTACAGCGCAATTGTAAACATTCTTATTTTCTGGGTGCTAATTTGCTAAATAGTACATTTTGGGGCATGCTCTTCATATCTGAGAGTCAAATAGAAGTGTCAATTAGTGCACTTACAGCGCAATTGTAAACATTCTTATTTTCTGGGTGCTAATCTACTAAATAGTAAATTTTGGGCGTGCTCTTTATATCTGAGAGTCAAATAGAAGCGTCAAATAGTGCGCTTACAGCACAGTTGTAAACATTCTTATTTTCTGGGTACTAATCTGCTAAATAGTAAATTTTGGGCATGCTCTTCATATCTGAGAGTCAAATAGAATTGTCAAATAGTGCGCTTACAGCGCAGTTGTAAAAATTATAATTGTTTTGCTGCTAATCTGCTAAATAGTACATTTTTATGCGTGCTCTTCATATCTGAGAGTCAAACAGAAGCGTCAAATAGTGCACTTACAGCACAGTTG